GTGTGGGCCTTCAGTCGCCTTAGATTGAATAGGCTTCCATCAGTACGATATCGAATGTAGATACCATCTTGATCATATACCCCTAGAGAAGCCTCTGTTCTTATAGTTACTAAAACCACAGTTCAGGAAAGCTCTTAATACATGGTGAATTTTGGACACAAATCTAAGAAATGATATTTTGGCGCCTTGCAAGACACAGCTTTCTTTAGATGCCACTAGTAATGAACAAATGTGGCTTGAAGTGTGACATGCAGTGAAACACACAGTTCTGCCACCAAACACCCACTGGCATTTCTGGCAGCCTTCCTCAACACCTCTCCCTGCTAGACTTCATTAGCTTTGTTCTAGAAAAAAGCACAGCCATTCATTGCTCCATGATCCTGGTCTCAGCTTTCTAGTTTGAATTGTCCAGCCTCCAAAGAGAAGTAGGATAAAAGGCAAATTCCCAGTTTATGCCAAAAACTTACTTTATTAAATAGAATTTTAAACCACTCCTTTTCTACGCAATAAACTATACATTGAACTCTTGTGATTCAGTTCACAAAATAATAAAGATATTGAAAAAAGTAAGCTGTTGGCACCTAGTAACGACCACACTGAAGCTTGAATCACTGCAATGCGGCTTCCTGCTATATAGGTTTTGAAGCTTCTACAGGTTTTGAAACAGCCATCACTTACCAAATTTTATACAGTGTCAGCAGAAACTGAAATTATTTATTAGTGCTTGCAAAAATAATCTGCCTGTGCTGTGTTCTGACAAATTAAAACCAGTAGTTTTTTTAGTAGTTTTGAAGTCACTAGGTAAAGTCACTAAGGTGTTCTGAAATGAGCTGAAAAAAAATTCCACGTACCTTTTCCTTTCAGGTGGCCCCATCTATGGCTCAACCTGTTAGCACCATCCTTCAGACAAAAAATGATGGCAGATATGTTGTCCAGAGAAGGTTAAGGCAGGAGAGACCCATGCACATCACTTCCAGCCTGGCAGGGCAGGGTAGTGCATGGTTGTTCCTTGTACAGACCCAACTACTGCTCATCACATAAATACTAAAAATAAAATTTAATTAGAAGTTTGGTCTGGTAACATGATTTTGTGGCAGATGACAAAGGTAAGGGAGGTATTAACCAAGGAAATGTAAAAGAGGTATTAACTGAGGATGTCCTTATATAACCTCTACCTGGATCTCATCCTACTATGATTTCAGGAATAGTTTAAGTTTAAGCAGTTGTAACCAAATAATGTAAAAGGCTGTAGCTGCAGCCTTTCTAATGTATCAGTTCTGAGCAGAACAAAGATGGCAAACATAATATCCTCCTTGCCCTCAAGGCTTCTCTTTGGACTGACATTCTTCTTGTGCAGTGGTCTGAAGCGCTTGCCATGGCAATAAAATGGGGAAAAGAAAACAAAACAATAAAAAAAATCCTGTAAAAATGCAATGCAAACTTCCTCCCACCTATCACTCTTCTCCTGCATGGCTTAAGGAAGAAAATTTATTATACGCACAGCATAATAACCCCAGAATAGAGCAGCTAGATTATTTCCCTCCTCCATGGGAAAGAGTAGATGGAGGGAGAAAAACAAATACTGCACGTTGAGATGAGTTGTCTCAATCCTGTCAGGTGAAAGGAAAGGCTATGTATGAACAGCAAATATGTAAAACAGGGAACATTTAATGTTTTTCTTTGTCATGTATAAACAAAATACTTTAAAAAAGTGAGTAAAAGAGTGCCAAATGTTCAGCTTTATCATTGCACTCCAACTGATTAACTGGTCACTCACCAAATGCAGGCTAGATGAACTCAGTGTCATTTCTGAGACTACAAAGGCATTGTGAGGACAAAGCAGCACAAATATAAAACTACTATATAGAAAAAAGAATCATATTGTAAGAAATATTCACATGGTTTCATATAAAGAGAATAAATTTAAGGATGCAGTCTTTGAGAATTAGATACAATGTCTGGATAAGGTTGAAGTCCTAGCTGTTTGTTATCTTTCAACTTTTGTACTATAATTCTGGCAAATTCCTCTCCTTGGCTGTCTGAAGTATCAAGCAGTTGTCGTACTTTTGATGTCCTTGTAGGTTTGGTGCTTATAAGTTCATAATCTTCTTTCATGAGTAAAAATCTTGCTAGAAGAGCATCCAGTGATTGATTCAAACATGCTTCAGTCATCTGATCAATAATTTCTTCTCTTTTACTTTGGATCCACTGATGAGCTACATTCTGCTGTATGGTTTCCAATACAAAATCTGAGATTGGAGAGGATTAAAAAAAAAAAGGGATTGTAACTGTCTGTCAATAAATGTTGCCATAGAACAAAGAACAAGCTGAGAAAGAGCTGCTAAAATGCTCCAATTTGTCAAATTTGGCAGTTAGAGTATCTTTTCTATCTGAATCACAGAATAATTTAGGTTGGAAGGAACCCTCAAGGAGGTCATCTGGTCTAATAGCCTGCTCAAAGCTGGACCAACTTCAAGCATAACTCAGGTTGCTCAGGGCCTTGTCCAGCTGAATTTTGAGCATCTCCAAGTGATGGTACTTCTGCAGCCTCCATGGGCAACCTGTTCCAGTGTTCAACCCGACCTGGTACTAAAAAGAGAGAGGTGGTAAATTCACTTTCCAGGGGGATTTTTATTGAAGTTTACTGAAAACATCCCTGTAGCTTCCTGGTATTTTCCTGAAGATGAGGATTCACATAGTGAAAAGGTGTAGATTCTCCTATTTCCAGAAGAGGGTGATGCAACAAATCTTTATAAAATTGCATGTTATTGTGTGTTCCCTCAAAAATATGTATTTCTGAATAATTCATCATGCATTAAAGTTTCTTTTTGTTAACTTTTTTGGAAGCACACTTTCAACAGTTATTTGATGGATAAGAATATAATGTAGTGGGCTCTTGACCAACACAGATGTTAGTAGAGATTCTGTGTGAGATGCTGACACAGCTTCTGCTTTCTCTTTGCCTCACCATTACTGAACAGAAGACTGACTAGCTTAAAAAGTGAGAAGCGACAGGCAACAAAGATGACTAGTTCAAGCTAAGTTTTTTTCCTGTTCTGCTGGACTGCAGCTTTTTTACAGCAGTAGGGGATAGGATAAATAATATGAGCAAAGGGAATGGGATAAAGAAGACCCATGGCAGCAGGAATTAAGTCTGCTTAAAAGGAAAGAAAAAAGCTAGGACCTACAGGTACGTGTACTTGGTCACATTTTACATTGGTTTTGCTTACTTTGTACTCTAAGTCTACAAGGACAGAATTACTTGTATTCTTAATTTGCAGATGCTTTGTTTTTCATTTTTGTTATCCATCTGTTGACCCAGATGGATAACAGTTCCAGTTTCCATTTCATACACACATATATTTGATGTTAGAACACTTATTGGGGGTCTTGGAATTAAACAGTGTTTGCCGTACCTGAAGGAATCAGTGGTGACTGCAGTATACACGATGCAGACTTCGAGGCATCTGAAATACTCCTGTCAGATGAGGGAACATTACTTGTGCATGGATGCACAAGAAGTTTGGCACTCTGAGTTACAGAGATATTGTCATCCATGCTCTGGCTGCTGAGAGAGTATAGACACCCAGAATTTCCATCTTGGAAAAAAAAAAGGAGAAAAAAAAAGAGCAAGATGTATTACTTCTATGTTCAAATAAAATAAAGCCATCAGAGATTATTTAGAGCAATTCCATTAAACAACTCATAAACAAACTACTTTCACATGATATACAACATATTAGTCCTTATATTCAAGTTCTGAGTACATTTATGTCCCTTACATTGTACCAGGGCTTGGGTACAATTGTACCATTGTACCATGGGTTTGGGGGTCCTGTTTTATTTTAAAGAAACATTGAGAGTATAAATCTAGTAGATGTGAACTTTGATGAAAAAGCTCTGTGTGACAGAAATTTTTTGTAGGGACTAGATGAACAAAATAAATCCTTTGAGTATATGGAGAGGTAACTAGAAGTCAGTGTGAAAGCAGATTCATTTATTTTGACCAAGTTTGGCAGCACAACGAAGGTGATAACATTAAAAGAAAGATTCAGGTGAAGGAAAAGGACATGAGGAGCAATGTTAACATTCAGTGGGAGGCCAATGGAAGCTTTTTGTAGTCCATTAAAACATGATATGACTTCAAGAAAGCTTCATGTAAACTTTTGCAAATAAAGAGAAAAAGTATTTCTATCAGCTGGGAAGCTTAATAGTTTCTGGTTTTAGGATTTTTTATTATAGAAAAGGATGATGGATATGAAAGCAGCAGTAGGAATGACTCACAGAAGAGATAACAAACAGCTGATGAGAAACATACTACAGGACATATGCCTAATTCTGTAAACAGTTTTCATTACAGACTTTCACAGTGTCACTTGATAAAGAGATGTTAACTAAGAACCAGAGATGCAGATATAAGAATTCAGATGAACATCTAAAGACAAAATGAGGTAGCCCCATGGACAACTCGGGATTACCTGTCCAATGGGGGAATCTGAAGGTGTATTCCCAGTTCACTGTTGACCTGTAGAAGAATATGTCTATAAGTACATGGAGCAGGAATAGGAAAATGTGGAAGAAATTACATTCTAAGTATTTTAAAAATAGTGGACTAGAACTCACAGTAACTAGTATTTTCTTTCAAGAACAAGAGAGAAAGTTGGGCAGAGCTATGTAGTGTGAAGCAGCAGATATTATCTACTGCATGAATGAGAAAGAATTAGGAGACAACTACTGTGAGTGAAAGATGATTTAAGAGAAGTGTTTTAAGCAGCTCTGCTGGGATAGATTGTTATAGATCCTTAGGCACACAAGTTTAATTTAATAACATAAAGATAAAACTACTGGGATTTTACTGATATGAGAGAATGACCTTGATCACAGCATAAAAAGTATAATCATAAAATCACAGAATTGTTTAGGTTGGAAAGAACTTAAGATCATCGAGTCCAACCATTAACCCAGCACTGCCAAGTCCACCATTATACCATGTCCCTTAGTGTCACATCTACATGTCTTTTGAATATCTTCAGGGTTGCTGACTCAACCACTTACTTGCCTGGGCAGCCTGTTCCAATGCTTGATAACCCTTTCTGCGAATAAATTTTTCCTAATATCCAATCTAAACCTCCCATGGCACAACTCAAGGCCATTTCCTCTCATCCTCTTGCTTGTTAATATTGTTTGTTGGTAAGAGACTGACCCCCACCTGGCTCCAACCTCCTTTCAGGTAGTTGTAGGGAGCAACAAGGTCTCCCCTGAGCCACCCTTTCTCCAGGCTAAACAACTCCAGCTCCCTCTAAGAGAAACATGCTAATGGGATTTATTCAGATGTTATTCAGAAAAAAAATCAGGTTGACACAAGTTACTCAGAAAGAACCTAGTTGACCTAGAAGACTGAAGTGATAGAAGTGGAAATTCAGAAGGAAAATACGAGATCTAAATTTTCTTCTTCAAGCAGGTCTAATGACTGGAAGCGAGATGAGGAAAAAAAACCCCTAGGTAGATTATTCTGTAACGAGGGGTCTTGTGAGAAAGGAAAAATACAATTCTAAGGTATACTGAGTAGAGCGTTTTTTTAAGGCAAAGAACCATTTGTCATGTCTTTCATAGTAGTAAGTAGAGGTCTGGTAGTCTTAGTTTAATGACTCAAGTTAGAATATGCACAAGGAGGACTAGTAGCATACCAGGAGAATAAAGAAGCATATTTTACAAAGGACTTCAAAAGTTCACCTAGCAAAAGAAAATATATGAAAGGATTACTCTCTAAATCAGAAATGAAATGGGAAGAGGGAAAAAAGCTGTTTAAACTTAAAGAAATTCCCAAGAAAAGCTTGCTACAGAAGGGAAAAAAACCCCTTTTTTATGTGCATACTTTATAGCACTGAAGTCAATTTTTTGCCTGCTTTCACATTACTTGTCCCCACAAAGCCAGAGGATGCTCCATTCTTTTGAAATATGTTTGCATTCCACCAAGGGAATAAACTTAAATGCAGTTTTAGTTTCACAATATATTGCTACTCCACCTGGGTCCCATTGCATTTTTCTGGCTTCTCATGTCAGCAAAACTTCAAAATTGAGTTTTCTGAGGGAATTTTGCCAACTTTTATTCAGAAAAGGGGACAGCTACAAAAGGTCTGTGCAAGTCTTGCAACTTTTGCAAGGCAATCTATTAAAGCCATTTTTATTTATTGAATTAAAACTGATCAGAGGTTGAGCTGCACTGGAAACTTTGAGTTTACTCAGCTTCAAAAATGCCTCAAAATGTGTAGTCTTTTAATATTTAGAAGTAGTTCACAGATTAAAAAAAAAAAAGGCAGTTAACTAAGCCACCAAGAGTTTTAAGGGACAATTAAGGGACAAGTAAATGTTATCTCTGAACTAACAACCCAGAGCAGGAAAACTAAAGCTGTCAGCTGTGGAGATTTCCCAGTGACAGGAACAGAAAATCAGAGCTTAAAACCTCTAGTTTACTCAAAGCACTAAGTTTAAAAAACACATTATTTTCCGACATAAACAGATACCCAATTTCCAACTATGTAAATGCAATGTCACAGTGAGAGTGTAAAGCTGCAATGGCAACTTAAATTTACACAAAGTCAAGAGTATCTCACCTGATGAAAGGATATTACACTGTGGGATAGACTTGAGTTTTGATATATCTGGAGAGATGCTCCGAAGGGGAAGTGCATCACATTGTATGGAGCCAGAATATGTTTCCTGAAATAAATCCAGGTGTATATTGAACATGCATGTTAAATAAATATGAAGCTGCAATTTTTTTACAGAGAATTTCCCCATCACTGTGTTTCCCTGATATCTAAATGCTCAACAGACAACACAAATAAAAAAAAGTAAATCTAAAGAAATCATATAATCCTAATACTTGTATTTTTCCCAAGGTGATAGCAATTTTGTATACAACTTTAAATACCAGCAAGAACCAAAAGCAGAAGCATTAAGGATCAAAATAGCCCTATATGGCTATGCATTTGTTACACTCTGTGATGAATTTTATGCCTTTCCTGACTGCACAAGAAAATAAAGTGCAGAACAACTCCCCTTACCAAGTTAACCCTTCCTTAAGCTCACAGGATCCTGACATACCAAATGCAACATGTAAAATATTTACCTTTTGGGGATTCAGAGGTATATTTAGAGAAATCTGCTCCACATTTGCTTTCTTTGCACTCTTGTAAATACCTTGTGATTCATATAGTGACTGGAAGAGACATTTACCCGTATTAAATTTCTGCTATAAGATAAGACGACAGTTCTGTACAAACACATGCTTCAACCAGATACAAGATTAGATACATGACAAACGAGATCACATTTCTTTTAGCAAGCAAAAGTCACCAACTTATTTGACCAATTCAAAACTGTAACAAAAGCTACTTACCTTTGATCTCTTTAACAGAATTACTGCTTCCAGCATAGCTATTTCATCAAATGTCCGCAGAACTGGCTCAATGTCTATTAAACATTCTAAACAAAGAAAGAGTACTTCGTGAATGGTTTGAAGTGGAAATCAAGTTGTCATTTTGCTAAAGCATCTTTCTTACATTTACAAAAATAATGTGTCTATTGACATATATCAAACCACATGCTGCTAAACAGAAGTTTCCTGCTTCCACATGTTAAAACAGTTCACACCACTAAAAGAAACCCTGTCCTGATCTAGCCACCTCATCATTCTGTAACAAAAGAGATCCAGGACAGTGCTGCAACTCTTGCATTCCTGGAATGGATAGATTGGTGAGTTTGCTGTGTTTCAAGGTAGACCCATCAAGCCTGATTAGCTGAATGGGACCAAACACCATGAGACCTCAGAGTGGGTTGCTGATTTCCCACTCCAGAAGAGGTGTTAAAAATTTATACAAGGAAAATAAATGCACCCCCAACACAGCACTATCCAGAATACATGCTGTGAGGCAGGGCCAGAGAGGATGGGATAGTCAAGGCACTGACTATCACATCCAGTGAAACCAAATGATATTGTTCTCGTTCTCACCAAATGCAGCAAGCCAGAGAAGCTAAAATCATCTGCTCACAGAGGGAGGTACAGGACAGTACAATAAGGAAATGACCACATGTGCTCTTGCTTCCAAAAGTTTATAATACTAAATATTGAACATTTTGAGATGACTATATTATAAAAATATCTTTGAAACTGTGCTCAAATACAACAAAACCTCAGGATAGGATGATATGTATCAGAATTCTACTGCATTTCCATGAACTCACTGATTCAGCAGAACTCATTTATCATACTAACAACCTGTCACACTGCATCCTTGTTAACATATTTTTACTTTTTACTATAATTTTACCACTCTTCTTCCCTATTAACTTTTATCCACTAGCATCTTCAAGACATACATTCAATACTGGGATTCTTATTTTCTTGTATCAGCTAAACCACAGTTTTGAAGGCATATCATTTTCCACACTCAAATACTAATATTGTTAATTTTTGTTGACTATAATTTTGACTATAATTAAATTGTAGGGACACACTCCAAGTATATATGGAGCGACGGTGATAAGCAGTTTTTATCCTCTATTTCTAAGGAACAGACAGGTTAGCTGAGCTTTTCTATTTAAAGCTTATTTTAAAAAAAGGGGGTTTGGGTGTTTTTGTGTGTGTGTCTGTGTCCTTGTCCTATGGTAATTGCAAAATTTCCCCATTAGTGAGCTTTACTTCCCTTAACTGCAACAGTTTTGTAACTTCCTCTTTCTTTTTACGACAGTAGAGGAAAAGCAATGCATGTTTTTTTTCAAAGACCATCTTACTACAGGCACGGCACTAATAACTGAAACCAAGTTTGGTCACACTGTAGTACATATCCCAGGTAATTATCCCTTCAGTGTGACCACAGACTTTAACAGATTTTTTTTTGTTGTTAATTGGCAGAGGAAAGGAAGAACACATACAGAAATACGATTATGAGTCTATTCTTTTTGATTTTAGAAAATATTCTAAATAGATATATTTTCTTGTTTGAAAAAAATAAAATATATACCCACAATTTACACACAAATCAGACTCCGACATAATCTGGCACTTCAAAATGTTCTTAAGGTAAAAATAAAAATGCCTCAAAAAATCATGTAATTCATTTTGGACTGTAAACTCAGCATAAAGACGTTGTATGTGTTTGGATGTTTCCCATTTTGTCCTCTGCTAAATGGATGCAAAAACCCAAAGTTATGAACCCAACATATGAACCCAACCCAAACATGCTCCCTCCCCTATCCCCATCAAATCAAATCAAACCCTAAAAGCAAAAAGCATCAACTAAAAAACCCTGGTATTTGAGTAACTGCATCTTTGAGCAACAGATCTCTGTACTGCTCTATGTTTGAATATTTTCAGTAAATCTCTTACTCTACATTTTAGTCTCTCCAAGGCAACACAGCTTTCCATACTGAATTAGAATCACATATTCTAAAGGGGCAGGCAGAAAGTTTGTAAAGCCCATGCAAATTAAACAAGCACAGCGAGGCAGCTGCAGGAAGCACTGTTCACTTCACCACCCTGACATATGTGACCACAGCAACAGTCGCAAGAGCAAATTTCACAACTGAAAACAGGTAATCCCTCTCTGCCAATTTTGATGGAATTACCTTTATGCAAGTAAAGTGTGCTGGTTAAGTTGAAATACAGGTTTTCAGAAATAAAACCACACTTTTCCAGTTCACACTCTGCCACTCTAATCTCTACAAGCTCACACTTCAGTCTTATTCTCTAAATTCTGCAAACCATTGTAAAAAAGGCTGAACGTAGCTGTATTTGGTTTCATGGACAAAAACCTGAACATAGAAAAGATGAAAAGTTTAGTTCTTGTTTGATAAAGGAGGTGGAACAATCAAAGATAAAGTCTCAGTGAAAAAGATTTATACTGAGATGCAAACACAAGATGAAGTTACTATGGATTATCTGATGTGCAGTGGTTTGTCGGTGTGTTTGCCAGCTTGCTTGTAAATCCCACAGTACTCATTCTGTACTTACTTCCCCCACCTTAAGAAACCAAAATCCTCTTCCAACAACAAACAAAAAAACCCAAACACAAGTAGTCAAACAAAACATGCTGCTTTTTTACAGTTAAATTAAGAGATGGTAAATGCAAAAGACTTCAACAAACAACATGGCTTTATGGCACACACGTAATTCCATTCATAAAAGTTTGTTTACATACATGATGGAAGCAGCCAAGACCCTTATCATAAGCAGCAAGACCAAGCACGTATATCTCTTCATTTCCTTACCATTTCCCTTTTGCTACTATAACCTTGGTCTGTAATAACCACGTCCAACAGAAATCTCGTAATTTAAAAATCTTTTCTCACTACGCAAAAGCAAACTCACTTAAGAATGATGGTCTTTCATCTGGGTTTTGTGCCCATCCACTTTCCATCAGTCTTATGATGAGCACTCGATGAGGAATGTCCATTGATAAACTTTCTTCACTTAAGTCTAGTCGTTGTCCTTGTGACACGCTGTACATTATCTGCAAGGGGTTTATAACTTCTGTCAAAACAGATATCATGCAGTCATTAGAAATACATGCAAAATAAACAGCTTACTACAGGAGGAATAATTCAGTTTGCAGATATAGTATTTACAGTTCATCAAAATAAGTTCATGTTTCTTTTTTAAAAAAAATGTATTTTTAATTTATAAAACAACACCGTAATAAAAAAAAACAATACCAAGAAAGAGTCTAATTTGAAAAGTATCTCAAAGTGTTCTTCAACAAGCTTACAAATTGAATCATTAAAAAGTAACCTCTAAAATGAAGTCCCTTGGTACCCAGGTCTCAGGTTTAACCTTTACATAAGGTGGGAAAAATAAATTAAAGGAAGACATGGCCTTACCTTCAAATGGCTGTTTCCTTGACATCACTTCCCACATGATAATTGCATAACTGTTTAAAGTATAAAAATACAGAAGGTGTTATTTTAGATTACCAACACTTAATAACACAATGTGCTCAGCTTTATATTTTGTGTAAAACATTTTGGTAAATGGTCCTGTAAACACACATGGGACTGACTGTAGCTAACTACAATGATGGTTGAATATATGAAAACTAACAGGAGTTTTAACCAGTGACTTCAACTAGAACTAGTTAATAATATTAAATACAGAAAAGGTACATATCATATAAACACCTATTCCAAACTTGTATTAACTTTCCTCTAGTAATATGTTGTGAATTATGCACATGCAGTTTAAATCTCAGCACATAAACTGAGTCCCAGAGACCCAACTGCTCTGTCCTAACAGCAATACTGTGGCGTTTCCCCAGTCCAGATTGACACTCCCTGACATTCCTGAGGGAAGCTGGGTGTTAGCAGGGAGGATGGCTTTGACGCACACCTAAGGTATGAACTTCCACTCAGGATGCACACTCCAGCTTCCCCTCCCACATACGCACCTTCAACACAGGCAATCTTCTCTATAGGAAGAGATGGCACTTTCACACAGCACTCACTTTCCAAAAGCAACTCTTGGGAACACCACTCTGAACTACTGCTAGGAGACTGAACACACATCTGCTTATTAAAACTGGTGGCCTTTTCTTTCCATTCACATCAGCATGAAAGGGAAGTGGTTCAGTGAGTACAAGCTTGCTCCACCTCTTTCAATAGAGTAGTCACTCTATTCAAGCCATCAGGGTATATTTAAAAAAGATAACTTCAAACAACTTTGTAATTTGAACCAGTTTAGATGATTTCATTTCAATGAAGCATTCCATTCCTGGTCCTTTTTTCAGATGCACATCAAAAATTTCATCAAAGCTATCACTACATTTTATGACACTCTCCAGTTTTCTCTTGGCATATTCTACCATATGTGAATGAAGCTCTATTCCATGATTTAACCCGAAAGGTCCTAATACTAATCCTACCATATTACTCAAGTATCTGGTTCCATTACCCAGATTTAGAAAAGATAATCCAGGCTAAAGCTTCAGTGCTTTTGTAACTTCAGAATAAATGCGAGGTGCTGACAAGTGTGTAGTTCCATGCTTCCAGGCCAAGTCTTTACAAGCATTATCACAGTGTTGTTCCAGATAATAATCACCATAGTAAATTGCTCTCAAGGCTTGCTCCACACTCTTGGTGTGAATAAACTAAGCTACTTTCCTACATCACTAACAAATACCACATTTTGCATACATGTAACTGCCTTTAAGCATCTGATGGCTACTAATTAAGAAGAATCAAAAAATTTAAGAAAGAAATAACTGGTACTTAAAATCAATCATATAAATTGAGTTTTTCTAACTACGTATTCTGTTCATATTTTAACATTAATCAGTGATAAAATTTATTCATGTAATTTTTAATAAAAGCAGTCCTCCCTGTCAGAAAGTCTGCTTTTTGATGCACTCCTGATAAATTTATGCAGGCTGATTTTTTTGTCCCTTTCATAAGAGTTAATGCTGCTTGACTGTTGTTTAAATGATTTCTTTCTTTAAGAAAGATCCTTCCTCACAAATTAGCTTAAATATCTCAACAACATTCAGCTGTGATCAACTAGACATCCAGCCTTTCACTCAGTTTGGAATCTCTCTACAATTCAAGATTATTTTCTCAGTTCTACAACACTGAAGCATTCCCCTTTACACTGTTCCCGTTTTTCTTTCTTATTTCTGCTTTATAGAATCTCGTTCTGATAGTGAGTTGTATTCAGTTTGCATAGGCAGGTTTTGGTAGTTGGGGGGATGCAGGGGTGGCTTCTGTGAGAAGCTGCCAGAAGCTTCTTCCATGTCTGGCAGAGGCAATGCCAGACTGCTCCAGGATAGACCTGCCACTGGACAAGGTTGAGCCCATCAGGAATGACAGTAACACCTCCGTGATAACATATTTAAGAAGGAAAAAAAGTTACTGCGCAGATGAAATTGCAGCCAGAGAAGAGTGGAGTGAGAATATGTGAACAACAATGCAGACACCAAGGTCAGTGCAGCAGGAGGGGCAGGAGGTGCTCCAGGCACAGGAGCTGAGGTTCCCCTGCAGCCCGTGGTGCAGCCCATGGTGGAGCAGCTGTGCCCCTGCAGCCCAGGAGGGACCATTGGGGTGCAGAGATTCACCTGCAGCCCATGGTGGAGACCCACTCCAGAGCAGGTGGATGCCCAAAGGAGGCTGTGACCCCATGGGAGGCCCATGCTGGAGCAGGGTCCTGGCACGAATCTGCTGACCCGTGGGGAGAGGAGCCAATGCTGGAGCAGGTTTTCCTGGTAGGGCTTATGGCCCTGTGGGGGACCCACACTGGTGCAGCCTGTGTCTGAAGGACTGCACCCCATGGAGAAGTGATCCACGTGGCAGCAGTTTGTGAAGAACAGTCTCTCATGGGAGGAACCCCACAGGGAGCAAGGCAAGGACAACTCTCCCTGAGCAGCAGCAGGAACAACCTGTTATGAACTGACCATAACCCCTATTCCCCGTCTCCCTGCGCCGCTGGGGGGGAGGAGGTAGAACTTGGAAAGGAGGCTGGGGAAGGGAGGAAGGTGTTTTAAAGATTTATTTTACTTCTCATTATCCTGCTGTGATTTTGTTAGTAATAAATTTAATTAATATCCCCACTATGAGTCTGTTTTGCCTGTGATGGTATTTGACGAGTGATCTCTCCTGGTCCTTATCTCCACTCATGAACTCCTAGTTACATTTTCTCTTCTCTGCCCAGTTGCACAGGGGAGTGAGAGTGCCTTTGGTGGGTGCCTGGCATCCAGCCAGGGCCAACCCACTACATGAGCACAGATCTTCCTGTGTGGCCTTTCTGGAGGTCCTTCACTGTCTCTCCACCTTCATGTCTTCCTGCATGAACTGTCATCCTTCTTTCTGATGTTGTCTCAGTTTCTTTTCTTTCTTCTCACACAGTTGCTTTCCTTCCTAATTTATCAGTTTTCTATGCCCTTCTGCTGATGTGTTCTCTCTTATTTTCTCCCATTTGGTTGTTATTCCTCTGCACATATTTTTTTCCTAACATCATCTGTCTTCCTAATCTCCACTCACTCATTAAGATACCAGTCATACTTTTTTTTCCCATAATATATCATTTTTCCTTTTTCAGTGTTTTCCTAGTGTGTATTTTCTCATCAAAGGGTGAGGAGAGCAGGTATGTTGCCATCTGTATTTTTTGGACAGGAACATCAAGAAACTTCATGTGCCCCTTAAGGGTAAGGGATAATTAAGATAAATAGTAGTCTCCCTATAAGTCACTAAGACTCTCTTGAGAATGGTCATCTCTCATCAAGATACAATCCTATCAAAGATTGCAGCAGAGAGATGGACTTTGTCACAGTGATTGGCCTCTTTATGCCTCCTCAATCTCCATTTACATGACAACTCCCCCCCAAATCCTTCAAGTAATCTTCGAGCTCTCCAAACCATTTCAGACTATTTAACTGTAATTCTAATATCCTCAGAGCAATTGTGTTATAAGGGCCACCACCACGCTCCTCACTATTCTATTACTTCTACTCAGAACTGACCAATGCAAAACTACCTGAACTTTCATAAAGTAAGTTATTCCTTGAGTAGATCCTTCTAAATACTTCCTCCAACACCATTAACCTGTTTTTACCTACTCCCTTTCCAAAAACATGTCTTCTTCTTTCCCGAGTGCATTCTGCAAATTATGTTAATTGATCTGCACAGATTACAAGAGTATGTGCATTGACTTAATGGTGTGAATAGCTTTTTTCTTTCCCTACATTGTCTGTATGTGTACACTCATTTAGAGAAACCAGTCTCCTCTACCTGCTTCTGTAGTCCCAGCTTAATTTCTGGAGCATTACACTTGTCACGGTGACAAGAAATGAGTCACTCAATTTTTATTTTTTATTTTCCAATTCATTTTGCCTATACTCATATGATACTATTACTACCAAAAATAATAAAATTGCTGAGAATATGTTAAAAATCTAGGTTCAGAAAATCAAATCTGAATTCAAATTTCAAAGCGCACTTGAGAACATGAGTTACCTGTAGATATCATGTTTCACACTTGCCCGGGTTTTCTGACTGGGGTTGTAGTCTTCAGGTGGCATGTAGATAATTGTCCCTCCTTCTGGCAAAGAGGATTCACTTCGTGATTGTGACATGGATATGACACGCCACTTGGACATGCCAAAATCTGCAATCTGGAAAGGCCAAATCAGTTGTTCGTAGAAGAAAAACTGGATTTATCTGTTGACAGTTGTTAAAAATTCCTGAAGTATGGTCGGAAGGAGGGGTCACCCAAAGTCCTTAACCTGACATACAAAGAGTATGTGGTTCCTCTAGCAACAGGAAACATCAACTCCACTTCATAAAGCATTCCCAGATCATGAGTCACGCTATCCCTCTAGCACTGCTTTATGCTGTTCTTTTAAGGAAGAACTCATATACTCTATGGCTGGGGAATCTGCTATAGAAATCTGTACCTTATGACAAAAATCACTTTCTTGTGTTGAAAAAAAGCAAATAAAAATCACTGATTACTTCCAGCTCCCCGGTTATGAAGAAATCACAAGTTTAGTATAAATCATAATAGCTCCATGTAACTTAGCTTGCCAATATGCTGAGGCAGTTTCTCTCTCAGAAAAATTTTAGGGCACTTCATCTCACTCACAAAACTGTGATATATTAGTCCTGAATTAATAAATTTGATATTCTGAAATTCTGTTCTGCAAAAAGCTGCTGAATATTTTCTTTACTGTGCAACTTGGAGCCTGGTCCCTTTCTACAGGTTACAGTACATCTACATAAAGAATTAACTGACTTCAGTTTACATCCTCAGACATCCATGAGCCAGCATGGATGTCATCAGGCTAGGTTATGGATAGGGACACAAACAGTCAGCAAAATACACCTGCTGGCTGAGCTGCAGAGTGCCTGGCATTCAAGGGAGAAAGACAAACAGCCAGCTACAAGCACTGCACTTGGCCAACATTTGTGTAAGAGCAAAATCATTTTCCAGGAAGATGCCTGTGCAAGCACTGTGGCAGCTAAAATACCAAAAACAAGCTTTCTGAAGAGTGTACAGTCAAAATATCCAATGAAAAGTAACCTTTTTTCTCTACAACTCACTCTCATCAAGCTTTCCTCACTGTAATTTGTCTTAATTCTTGCTCATTCAATAGATCAGTAGTGCTTAGTGGTGTTACTTTTATACACACGCAATACTTCTTCTATTTAGCATAGGTGATAACCTTCCTTGCGTTTCCTGTCAGCTCTCCTAATTCTAGAGAATCTAGCTTTACCTCTAAAAGACACTTAGAACCCTAAGACACTCCTTACAGGAGGCAGGGCAAGTGTGCAAGAGTTAAGCTATTCCTTTCAATTGCTCCAGCAAAACAATTGTTCAGATGCACTCAGTCAGAGCACCAAACCACACCAGTGCTGTTAGGGATTAAAAACGGAGTGTATAAAAAAATTACTTGGGCTAGTCCCCTGATCAGGTTTATCAGGAAGCTCGAGAAATGGCAATACCAGCACAACGGAGTGGGAGGAGGTATGACCTGCTGAGGGTGTGAGCAGAGACAAAGCCGCGCGAGGCACACTGCGGCCAAGAAAAATTTCTGTGCAACAGAGAAAAAAAAAGCAGCACTGGATCTTTGCTCAAAGGACTCAGAGAGATTCGTCTCATGGTAAAAACTGAAGCATTCACCATTCAAGTATAAATTCAGTGCAAAATAGCTCTTTCATTTACTTGAATAATATATTCTATCAATTATAAAAATAAAGGATTTTTAAAAAAAACAAACAAGAAGCAACACACCCAACTCTTGCAGTTATGAAGCACCTAACCATTTTGTCAGAAGTACTTTTAGTCTTTTTTTCACATCATGGCAGTGATATTTCAAAAGGCAGAATTAAAGTTTTAAACTACCGTTACTTCTCTGTGTATCTTTGCTTGTTCTTAGAAGTGTCACAAAAGCCATCTTCCAACATGTCCCGATTTCACAGTTATGTTTTACATATTCTTATACTAAACTAAGAGAATAGATAAGTATATATTGCATGATAAATATCCAATGGGGTATTAACAATTGAATTTGACCTACTGTCTTCCAAAAGTAACTTGTCTGAGCATCTCAGACAGGTACACTCTCTATTTTCTTCTCGGAAAGGGCCAGATGTAGCTACCCTTGGAAGGCTGACACACAAGAGCATCACTACTACTGAGTATCATCCACTGCCATAGCAGAAACAGCCCAAATTCTGTCTTTCTAGTCTTTTCAGAGGGATAAAATCTACACTTGAGCAATGCAGTTTTCAAAAAGAAAAACTCAGAAGTTCTGTCTGCAAGGACAGAAGAAAAAGTCCAGCATACAATTACTTCCTCTCTGTATGGCCACAACCTCACTCTTCCTCCTCTAAATTAATTAAAACACTTTCACTCATTCTAGACACTGAAGAACATAAGAATTAAATAACTCTACCTTGACATGAAACTCATCATCCAGCAAAATGTTCTGGGTTTTTAAGTCATGGTGCAGCAGTGGAGGATTCATGTTGTGCAAATAGTTTACTCCCAAAGCAATTTCGTAAAGAGTGCGGAATCTCAGGCACCAGGGAATGTCAGGATATATGTCTTTCTGCCAAGATAAAACCACAGACCTGGAATATAATCTCTGTTTTGATCTAACAGCACAACACAAAGGCTTGTTTTAGAAGAAAAAGAAAGTGACTTGGGCAAGCATCAATCTTTTTAAAACATACATTACACAAACTCCTTAAAAAACTGTAATGGAGCATTAAGACTGATTAGTTGTTAAAACAAATGCATAAATCATGCACAAATAACACTGCATAAAAGTGTTATTTTTCCATCCCCTGGCATTCCTATAATAGTTCATGACTGCTAAACGTGATATAGAGCATTTTACTACATTACTCATTCATGTGGAAATATGAATTACAGATGAACTTCTGCATGAAACTTGCAAACCACAGATTATGAGTACTACACAAAGGCAGCCAAGAATCATATCTTCAACTGACACTGGGGGAAAAAAAAAGCTGTGTTGAAACTAAGCACAAAATATTACCTTTATAAATATTAATACACCTAGAAAAAGGTAATAAAACTCAAATGAAATCTTAAAATTTATATTGACAGTAATGCCTCTATGAAAAACCCACAGATGAGCTCTCTAATGCATGAGATTCGTATTGATTAAAGGTACAAAAGAGGTGCTGTTGAGACAACTGCAGGAGCTTTTCAGTAGCAACACTGTATATTCAGGCCAAGCTAATGGGAACAGCTGAGAGTTCAACACCGGAGAACTTAGAGAATAAGATCTGGTAGAAATATTCATAACTGTTTAGATTAGCAACATTTGGCTTCTATAAAGGAAAGTCAAAATCTTCAATTTATTTTTTAGAAATACCCAAATTCGGGAAAAAGCCCTCAATATTTATATTGGCAGTAATTCTAAAACCCAGGCTGAAGTACACATAAGTATTTCAGCACCTAACTAGAGAACAGTAGAGATTTTTAAAGTGACTCTACATAATAATTCAACATAAAGCTAGTAATAGGTCACAACATTAAAGGAAAAAGTTCAATAAAACTTAAGTCTACTGAGTTAGGTTGTCTTTTTGAGATACAGAAAAGTCTATCAGAACACCAAAAACTACTAATGATAATTACTGTCTTTCAATGTGAAATATTATTCATAATACACTTTACTATACTAATTAAGTATGGAAATTGCAATCTATTTGAAGCAGCCAGGTATCTATTTAAAGACTGTAAATACACTTACCCCATGTAATAGCTGGTTTAATGATCCATTTGTCATGTATTCTGTTACTATCCCCAGAAATTCAGGCTCGTTGCAAATTCCCAAAATTGGCAGAATGTAACTAAATCTGGCTTTGTGTAATATCTCTGCTTCTTTTAGAAGGTGATTTCTATCACTTGAAGAAAACAAGCAAACAAACAAAAAACATTACCATACCAATACTGGAAGACTCAAAGCAAACGTTGTGTTCACTATATTCTCTGTCAATTATATCCCTGTGTGCAGCACCACCTTTCACCATTTGATTTCTATCGTGCTGTTTTGATAACAAAACAGCATAAAATAAATTAGAATCTGCAAATGCAAAGACAAGACAGCTTCCCCGGTTTTGTTGTACCACATAAATCTCTCTATTTCCATCACACATTTCATCGTGTTTCCAGTAAACAAGGATACAGTCAGAACTCCCAACTTCCACCATTCTTTGCAACCATGATGGTAATAACCAGCCACATTTGTCCTATTTTACCTCAGAACTCCTCAAAAACTTGGATTTAATGCGTCTTTACAAATTCAGACCTTGCAGCATGTGGATTCAAGAAGCTCAAGTTTTATTTGTGTATGCTTCTATCCCTAAAAATATTATCTCTTTGGTATGCCTTATATCTCAAATAGTCTTGAAAAAAATGGGTTTGTTGACAATGAGGATATTTGGGCCATGAAGGATAATTCTGAGAAAAAAGATTTAGATCTCACACCAGCAGAGACTGGTACAGGTAGAAGTACCTGCCCAGAATATCCAAATACAGGACATTTACAGCACATTTAAAACTGATCCTTTGGACATTAACCAGTCTGATTCAGAAGCAATAGAGCTGTGCTGGGGCACAGCAGTGTACAAGCCAGGGCTATGCCCATCACGATTTGTTCAGCACAGCTCCCTGTTAATGTGGCTACACAGCTCCTGGGCGAGAGCCACCTTGTGTCCATTGAGCTCAGGGCAGTCTGGACCCACAGATGTGGATCCAGCCCTCACAAAGAAAAGGCTGTCAGGGTATACAGGGAAAAGAGGAAGCCTGGAGAACTAAAGCCTGCTGCTTTTACAATAGGAAAACTTTGACTTTAGATGGATGTGAAATCGAGGTCCTTATCTATGTGAGAGAAAAAGACTTTTATTATAGGAAACTCTAGGAACGCAGCCATTGAGAAAAGCATGGGAGAAAACACCCAACTATATCCCTTCCTCCCTCTCTCCAGAAAAGACTAGGTTTGAAGGAAACTAGGGGTTTTCCCAGACACATTTGCATGGGATTCAGCTGTAGCTGGGAAACAAATTGCAACATACCAAAGTCTATTTCTGGGTCTGTAAGTCACTTCACCTTTGTCTGCTCCATACCAGAAGGGCACTGAGCAATGCCTAAATGAGTACATGCCCACAACAGCTTCCCAGCTGGCTTTTCTCTTTGGCTGGTCACACACCATATTCTGGCATGCATAGGACATGCAAAGGACATGGTGCATTAACTGCACCATGAATTCTTCTTCAAAGCACTTACAGGCTGGCATTTTATACTATACAACCAACAAATCACTTGCTGCAGAGACTTTGGTAAAACATATTTCTTACAGCTTTCAGTCTTCTAATAGCATTTCTGAGCTTTGCATGATATATGGTAGGTGACTGAATTATTTTGATTACCTTGCTTTCCCTTTTCATCATAATTTCATAGGTAAGATGTCACACTAATCCAAACTCTTGCAAGGCCAAAAATAACATTTGATGTTTTTCCCCAGCTGAGTTCTGAGGATAAACACTGCATTCCTGATTAGCAGGGATTTAAGCAGACATTTAAATTAAAAAAACCCAAAAACCAAAACCACGAAAACCACAACACCCCCAGAGAACACAACATAACTCAGATTTCAGGTAAGATTTCAGAGATAAAGCCAGTATATATGTACCTGTGTAATAAGAAGCAAAAGAGTTTGAAACAACTTGTCATAATCTAGTATATTGGGTTACAAGACTAGCAGCCTTTTTGAGTGAAGCTACCCTGCCTAAAGGCATAGTACTAGATCAGAGAAACCTGAGGTAATAAAGCTGGAAGATACTGAGATAAGACTCAAGAGGCAGGTTTGCAGTCAGGCAGGCTTCAGACAGCCTAGAAGAGGCAAATTTGCATTGATATAGTAAAATCCTGGCACTATAGGGATTGACTGAGACAGAGATGGATGAAAAATTATAACTTGCTGCCCCCTTACATGGAGTGACAGCTCCTGCAATAAACATGCTGCTGTTTGGGTTCCTGGAAATTGGGGAATATGATTGCAACACTGAAAATATCAGTTGTACATGGGGGCCTACAAGCCTATTATTTTAAATCAGCTTCTCTCATTACTGTGAGATCTGGGGGAAAAATAAAAATTGTGCATTGTGTCAGAGAAGTTTCTTCTAGGAGCTAGAAGCAATCTTTAGTGCATATTCCCTATATCCTCTATATTCTTCCTCTCTCTGTAAACTGCAAATCTATTAATAATCACTGTACTTTAACACCCTCCTGATACTTCAACAAAACGGTCAGAAACCAACAGGCCCAGAAAGAAGCCAAACTGTGCCAATCTCATCTTGAGGAGGAATCAAGGCGCACACTGCATAATAAAAAGCCTCCAAAAGAAACAATCTAATTAGAGTCCCGCTGATCGAGACCGAAACCACCCATTTCCGACAATCGAAAGAGAGGAAGCTCCGGGGCTGGTACGTACTTTCTCGTGGCTCAAGCCGATTCACTCTTCCTGGGAATCCCCTTCCCAGGGATTTAATGCAACGCTGCCTACCAGAACACCAGGACTGATTCACCGACCTGAGAATCCCAGGCCGGCATCTTCGCCGACACCTCGACTCCCTTCTGGCTTCGTGGGACCCCTTGCTTAGTTTAGGGAAAGGTGGGCTCAGCTCGGTCCTCGCCCCCGGGCCGCCCCCCAGCGATGCCCCATCCCGGCGGTCCCCCTCCCCACCCCGTTACCTGTCTAGCAGCGGCCCCTGCAGGCATTTGAGGGCCACTGGGACCCTCCAGTCGGCGTGGCGGGCGGCGGACACGGTCCCGTAAGCGCCGCGGCTGATGAAACGCAAGTCCGGGAGTTTGTTGGAGGGGATGGAGGGCAGAGCGTAGCTGATGGCGCCCGCCCGGCCCTCACCGCCGTCCCCGCTGCTCATCCTCCCACTCCACCGGGCGCCGGAGAGCAAGGAGCGCCGCTCCCTCCTCTCCCCTCACTCCGCTTCCCCGCCTCTCCCCACACCTCCCGGCCAGCCTCCTCCCCAGTGTGCCGGCGATCCTCTCTTCCTTCTGCCCCACGGAGGAGCCACTTCCCTTCCGCACGGAAAGGGCCTCCCGCGGTTCCCGCGTCGGTGGGAGGAGCGAGCTGAGGGAGAGCAGAGCCGGTCCCGGCTGACCCCAGGGAGAGCGGGCCAGGCCGGAGTCTCCTCCTTCGGGGAGCCAGGTACCGGGAATCATCCCTCGGCCATGGATGGAACATCCCCCCACCCCATCCAGGGGGCATTACTCAGGCTGGAGAGGGGGAGAGAGGGAAGCATCCCCCTCCGTCCGGGAGGGCGGCGAGGGACGTGTTAGTTCTGTTTCCGAAAGATGATGCAGGATGCCAGAGCCGAACGCAGATCGCCGCAGTGATTCGTTCACTCCATACAATCATAGAATGGTTTGAGTTGGAAGGCACCTTAAAGATCATCCAGTTCCAACTCCCTTGCCATGGGCAGGGAACCTTCCGCTGGACCAGGTTGCTCAGTGCCCCATCCCAGATATATTCACTGCTCAGGTGAAGTGAGAAGAGCGTTATCTCATGCACTTGCTTATCTCCTGTCTGTACTAGGAAGACTTTTAAGGATAGCGGCATTTCAAAAAAGTAATTTCGAAATTTCCAGTAAGTGCGAGTTCACCCTTGCCCCTGCTCAAGGCAAGCTGCCTGATACACTGAGGTGTTTATGAGAGCTTTACATGAGGGTTGCGCAGGAAGGTTTCGTAAGGCCTGTTCACCAAGTCAAGTTCTCACAGACTAACAAAATGCTTTAATTTAGAGGTAGAGGTCTGTAGCTTTCCACAAGGAGTGACAGTTTCACAGGATGAAATAGAGGTAAACAGCAAATCACCTTTCCATGTGCGTGGATCAGGGCCTAAGCACCTGTGGCTTTTCACCTCTCCTCTTTTCTCCCAGTAATGGTGAGACATATGGATTGGTTAGAATGAGGGAAAGGAGCTGAGTTTTCAGACTACGATATTGTACAATATTTCACAGCGTTCATTTTAAGGCATGGCAACTATTTTTCCATTCTGTCTAGGTCCTAGTACTTTAGTAGCTTTGCTGTTTTTCCAATTTTCTTGTATCTTGGATGACTTATATCCTCCAAATGCTGCAGCATTACGAACATACCGAGGAGCCATATAAAGCAAGCGGTGACTTACTCTACTTTCAGTTTTCACTTAGCCTGTGTCCTTTAGATCCACTAGGTAGTTTCCCAGAATTGTAATTTTGAGGCAATATTTGCAATATGCAGCTTTTGGGCGTATGTTTATGCATATCCCTCTCTGTATTTATCATGTTGGTAGCACTATTTGTCATACCATTTCAGCTTTGATATATAAGAAGGATTTTGTTTCCTAAAGAAAATATTATGCAACGGACAATTACTGTGAGCATACACTACAAAACCAATGTGTAAATACATGCTTATGATATTTCCCATTAAGATATTATGTCACTATACTAAAAAATTATTTGCACCTTATTGCCATGTGCTTCGTTGATTTAATGTATATTATATAGTTTTAAGTATACTAACTTAAACCCCAAGGAAGTTATTGTGGTTCTAAAACGTGGATGTAGAGGCAGCAATGTTGGTGCAGTGCCATCCTTCCCTTGGCATGCAGTGTTCCTGGAACTGTAGGTGTTGTGACTCCCTAAGCCCTATCCCTAACAACAGTTTGGCGGCAAGGCTGAGGTCCTAAAGTAGATCAAACTTTTGATAAAACAGAAGTTTTTGTTAAATACTGTTTCTAAATGATGGAAACAGTATTGAGATCATGTGACAGATAAATAGCAGCCTCTTGGTTTCTTCTTTGAATTCTTAACTTGTGAGATTTCCCACACAGTCCTTTTCATTCTTGTTAAGAAGTCTTTGGTCTGACTCTTCCTTTCACAGGAGAATTCTCTGAAGATCTCCACTGATAATGAGATAAGCAAAGGTCCACAGCAAAGAGGATACTTTTCGTGTGTGTAGTATTCCTAGTGGTTTGATAGGGTTGTAATGAATGGTTCAGAAAGTGTGACAGCTACGTCAGTGAGCTTAGTCTTCAGCTTGCGAAATCTAGGAGGGCGGCTACTATGTGATCAGTATATGATGATACAGACTTATAAAATGCTTTTCTTTCCTTGTATCTCTTTAAAAGATCAAATAAAATAACATCTGAAATTAAACACATTTTCCAGACTGAGGTAGTATCTGCTTTCTGAGATTCTTCCCTGTGGGCAGCATAAGCTGGAAAGGGCTTTTATATTTCTGCTGTAAACAGGTATTCACACAGATGTTTAGAAGCTATGACTGTATGTTGGGATCCAGGATGGATCTCAGTCTGGATGTGTCACCTAGCTGTGACCAATTTGGAAAAGACCTGGCAAGAGACCTACCTGTGTATCATCTTCTTCCACCTCATATTCTTCCACCTCAGCTGCCTTGCCTTCTGGTGCTGTGCTTCCCATACAAAGTGACACAATATTCAGAGAGGACAGATACTAATGGCTCCCATGAAACAGTGGCACCTCTACTGTGATGATCAGCATCTGTCCTGCCTCATTTTTCAGACTACTTTTTTTTTTCTTCTTCTTTTTGGTGATATTTACAGGTATTTTGCAAGTAGGATCCTATTTATGACATAATTTAAAATAACAGGCCCAGCAAGATGGAATTATTATCTTGCCCATAAAATTTGGGACGATTGTATAACAAGCTGTCACATTTTTAGCAAAGTAGTAAAAAAAATGGTAAGTGATTAAAATCAAGTAACGAAAGTGGTTATGTCTCATAAAGATAATTGAACATTTGCTTAAGTCACTAATTTCCTGTGATCATATAACATTTAATATCCATTATCAACATTTACTGGATATGACTACCTTGAGGACAGGGAAATGCTAGTCTTAAATTTGTAATACTTAGATAAACTATATGTGATCATATGAAGCAATATAGAATCATGTCAATAGTCAGAACATGGACTTACATATTTAGTTGTTTCGTATCTTGAACAATTTTACTGTATTTTTACTGTTGGACTTAAACATGACAGACCCTGTTACCTATTAAATATTCTGAAACATTTGGGGAAAAAGTATTATTTTTCTCTCAACTCTTGATAGTTCTTAAATTTTAGTTGTATCTTTAGAGTTGTATAAAGGATCCTGTTTCAGAAAATGAGTTTTTATTTGGTAAGCACAATGCCTTTGTCTTTGCTTTTTATTTTGTGGATTTTCTTAGCTTTTAAACAAAAAGAGAATGGGTATTTGGTTTATACTAGCCTTTTTAGAAGGAATATTTTGTCTCAATATTTTGTATTATCCATATTGCAGGAATGAAGGAGTTTTGTAGCAACCTCTTCAATTGTGCTTGTTCTTACCAGTGTGAAATTGTTTCCATCCTGATATTTGTCTGAAACAAAACATCAGGTGATTCTGGCTGAGATCCTGTTTTACCTGCTGTCACTCTGATAATGTAATGATACACTTGCTCGGATCTATGTCTATTAGAAACCAACACCCTCTGCAATCATGAGTGTAGTCTCCTATCAGCTTTAACAAACTCCTCCTTGTCAGCGTGTGCCTCACACTAGGTGAGCTGTTCCTGAACATCTGGATTCTTTTGGAAGTTGTTACCTATTGTTTTAGATATCTGCTGACAGAATTTTTTATTAAGAGATGTACACGAAAGTACTTGTATCCAGCTATTACAACATGTTGACGCTACCCAGCTGACTGAATCAAGGGGCAGAGCTGCTGGGAGCTTTTCTGGCAGTTTGGAGGGAGCGAGGAAGTGCTTGGGGTACGATGCTTCTGAGTCACCTGGGTTTTTATTTCCATGCTGTGCTATTGCCGGTGCACATATGGTGGTGACGTGTCATGAGTATGATGTCAGGATAATGTCTCTGGTATTCTTTTGAAGATAAATGGCATTTCCTTTCAGCACTAGCAGTTTAACAAAGCCACCTCACACTTGCATAATTTCAGTGTTTATTTGCTATTTTCACTGAGCTTCTTCTGTTCTCCTCTTCCTTGTGGGACCTGGGCAACTTAATGAAGCTAGTCCTCTTCCTAGCCACCAGCTTCTCATGAACACAGTGAACCTCTCTGTGTGGAAGTAACGCAGAGGGAAATGCTCAGCAGAGAAGGAGGAAGGAAATGAGATTTTGAAGGGTTCTTCTTGGACAAAATAACACTGTGGTACTCTTCTGTGCCTTTTTCAACATGTGCTTACTTGGATTCTCTGGGACCATGTGGAGTCCAGGTTTATCCTAGGTGCTGAATCTAGTAAACATGTGCTGGATCATTTCTTACCAATAAGGCCAACTAGCACAGGATGACAGTCATCCACCCGAAACAGAGAATCTGTATCAGAAATGCCTGTTATGAATAGTTCCTAGGTTTAGTTCCTGAAGCATGGAGATTGTTTAGAAGAGTGGTATTTCTCATGAGCCAAAAGGGATTATTCTAACAGAATTCTAATTTCTGGCAGATGAGTGCCAGGCAGGCCTAGGAGCATGCCCTGACACTTCTGACTTTACAAGGGCAGGTAGTATAAGGTATTCAGTGGTCTACTATATTCAGGATTAGGCTATGTTCATTTTTTAGGCTGGGTATTTCCTCAAATTCTTTAGCTTCCCCCTTCACCCTACTTCTAGGTTTTAACCTTTATTTTGGTTTTCTAAAATGTCTAAAATGTTGATGTTCTTGGTGTTTCCCACAAAATTATTTCAGCTGAGAGAAAGATGAAAAATTTTCTTTCAGCAGTGCATTAGAGCAAAATTTATTTTTCTTCCTTCTTTTTCTCTTCTTAAATTTAAACTGTTTTACAGGTGCAGCAGGTTGATGCAAAGTCAGCAGATTGAGGGAGGTGATTCTCCCCCTCTGCTCTGCTCTGCTGGGACCCTGTCTGGAGTACTGTGTCCAGCTCTGGGGTCCCCAGCACAGGAAGGACATAAACCTGTTGGAACAAATCCAGAGGAGGGACACCAAGATTATTAGAAGGATGGAGCACCTCTGCTCCGGGTAAAGGTTGAAAGAATT